TCTAAAATCAGAAACAAGACAAGGATGTCCATTGTCTCCACTCTTATTCAACATAGTTCTGGAAACTTTAGCCAGAGCAATGAGACAAGAGAAATAAATAAGAGGAATAATGACAGGAAAGGAAGAAGTTAAATTATTATTTGTGGAAGGGATGTTACACTGCATAGATGCCCCCCAACGCTCCACTAAAAAACTGCTGGATTTAATAAGCAAATTCAGTAGCATAGCTGCATACAAAGTCAACACTCAAAAATCAGTAGCCTTCCTGTACACGAATAAAAAACTCAGAGAAATTAGGGAAACAACACCTTTCACAATAGTATCCAAAAATAAAAAGGAATACCTAGGAATCAATCTAATGAAGGATGTAAAAGACCTCTATATTGAAAACTACAGTACTTTGAAAAAGGAGATTGAAGAGGATAGCCGAAAATGGAAAGATAGCCATTGCTCTTGGGTAGGAAGAACCAATATGGTGAAAATGCCATACTTCCAAAACTGTTATCCAGATTTAATGAATTCTGGTCAAAATTCCAACAGCATGTCTCATGGAATTAGAGAAAACAATCCTAAAATTCATTTGGAACCAGAAGAGACCTAAGATAGCAAAGGCAGTTCTGGACACCAAAGGCAAGGTAAGGGGTGTCCCAATCCCTGAATTGAAATTGTACTACAAAGCTACTGTGATAAAATCAGCATGGTACTCACAAAAAACAGACCTGAGGATCAATGGAACAGGTTAGAAGATGCAGAAATAACTCCAGACATCTTTGACAAAGGTACCAAACACATTCACTGGAAGAAAGATAGCTTCTTTAATAAATGGTGCTGGAAAAACTGGCTTTGCACATGCCAGAGATTAAAATGGGACCCATGTCTTTCACCATGCACTGAACTAAAGTTGAAATAGATCAAAGATCTAAATATTAAAACAGAAACATTACATCTGCTGGAAGATAGAATAAGTCAAAAAAACTCTTGAAGACATTGGTGTAGGCAAAGACTTTATGGATAAAACTGTGATCACACAGGAACTATCACATACTCTGAGTAACTAATTTAAAGATAACAATATGCACTGTATTAACCATTGTTACTCTCCTGTTTTCTTGTTTTGAAATTTTGTTTTGTTTTATTCCTCTTTAAAATAAAATAAAATTAAACAAATAAAAATTTTTAAAAGGTGGCTCTCCTATTTTGCTTTCCCATAAACAATAAATGAATGCAACAGTTTCCTCACATGCTCACTTGAGTTTACAATTGACAAGCTTCTGAATTTTAGCCATTCTAATAAATGTGTGATGTTATCTGTTTATTGTCTTAATTTGTACTTCCCTGGTGACATAAACCGTGAAGCAGATTTATAAGTATACTTGTAATATGTATGTGTATATTCTTTGGTGATGTCTGTACAGATCTATGGTTCATTTTTAATTGAATTATTTGTTCCTTTAGTTGAGTTTGAGTTCTTTGAGTATTTTGCAAATAGTGGATCCCACTCTCGGACTCCTCTTATCCTGTATATAGTTCTCAAGACTGTGGTTTTTAATTTTGTTAAATTCACTTTGCTTCATCTTTACAAAAACATGGCTCCATCCTGTATATTAAGAAGTCACTAAAAGGAGCCTCTTTTGTAGAAAAAATTAAATAACTGCTCTTTTTTTTTGAGACAGGGTCTCACTATGTAGTTCAGGCTGGTGTTGAACTTGTTATGTAGCCTCAGCCTGCCCGAGTGCTGAGATTTCAGGTGTGCGCCACCGTGACCTGTATAGCAGCTTTCCTGATCTATGTTTCTAACAAATTACAGCTTTCTTACAAAAGGTAGATTCTTTTTAAAATCCAAGTACAGAGAATGTGTGCTTTTATATTTGTTCATTCAACAAACAGTGAGCAAAGGATGGCAGTATCCCAGGCACTTCATAGATAATAGTGACTAATGCGCACCCGCTCCCTGCGTTCACCAGGCGGCCCAGGCACTTTCTGCACAGAAAGGGCTCTCTCTCTGGCAAAGCGCTGGCTCTGCGGGAACACATGAGAACCCCCCACAGATGCAAGAGCCCAGGGAGATCTTTCTAGAGTCTTTGACTCCAAACAGACCTGGAGTTGGGCCAGAGCAGGAGGAGGAAAAGAGCATGTATGCACAGTCTGTGGTAAGACAGGACACGGGATGTTCTGGGAACCAGCACAGTTCAGAGTGGCTCTTGAGAAAAGGTTCAATCTAAACATTTGGTGTGAACTGAGTCCAGACTACCCTGTGTGGGACTTTGCTACTTTTGCTGGAGTTCCAGCTTGTCCAAGTTCTATGAGCTTTGTGTGTAAGAATGTTTTCAAATGCAAGTAACAGAAGTTCCCACTCCCACTGGCTGAAAGGTTAAGGACATTTATTATTTCACATGCAGGAAGACTACAGGTAGGGTACACTTGAGCTAGTGGGTTCAATAGTTTAACAATGTCTTTAGGGATTCTCTCTCTGTCTCTCTGTTTTTTAGGGATTCTCTCTGTGTCTCTCTCTGCCTCTCTGTCTCTGTCTCTACCTGTCTGTCTGTCTGTCTCTCTCTCTCTCTCTCTCTCTCCACACACATACACACTCACTCAGCTTCTCTCTGAGGTCAGTACCCCTCCAGGCCACATGCCATGAGACAAGCTACCTCCTTATCCTCTTTCAGCAGGACAGACAGTTGTTTCTCTCTTTTGAAAGCACCCAGCAAGCCTCTTCTGATATCTCACTGGCACAAATTCCCAACAAACCCCTGTTGGAGAAGGAGTCACCCTGCGTGGCTGGGCTTCATGGCCTGTCTCCCACTTTGGCATCCCAAAACAGGCCTAAGTCCAGCTTCAAAACATGGTGCATAGTTGTGGGTTTTATTACAGGTTTTGGAAGAACTGGTTATCATACTGACAAACTTCCTAAACATTATCTTTGAGCTTCTTTCCTTCCTCAAATGTCCACTGTTTACCTCGGCTCCCACACCTCTTTGCTTGCGCCCTCATCCTGTCTCGACTTTCGTAGTCAGATTGGTGCTGCCTCTGTTCCCACTGCTTTCTTTACATCCCTCAGCTTGCGTTTCCAGCCAACAGAAACCAGTTCCCCCAAACCAGCCACACCGAAGAAGGGAATTCAGATCTCTTCCCACATGCTCCCACGGCCTGCTTATCACTCTGCCAGTAATGCTACAGGGGATGTACGGGTTGACATCGGCATTTGTACATTTAAAGAGAGAAAGAGAGGAAAAGAGAGAGGAGAAGAGAGAAAAGAAAGAGAGAGAGAAAGGAAGGAAACCTATATTCTAATTTCTTCAAACCCTTAACAGGTTGACTAATGATCAATGAACAAGGCTGGGATGTAGCTGAGTGGTTTGCCCAGCATATGGGACTCCTGCAGTCAGTTCCCAGGGCTGGAAATTTGAAAAGCTGTGATTAAGTGACACAGAAGCTGTTCTCTGCAAAACAAAAACATAAATGAAGAAACAAACAAAAAACTCAGGATGGTTTAAAAAATACCACAAATCAAGTCTAGAGACAAACAAAATGTTGAGAAATAGTTGTAAAATACCGGATCATTTTCTTATATAAATCCCGAAGGAAAAAAGCATCCTAGTGAAAAAGATATGAGCTGTTACTTAACAAAAGAGAGATAACATTTATTTTAATTTTTTTGCCTATCAGATTGGCAAAGATTAAAACCTCACTAATGCGCAAGGTTGGCATGGATGTGGAGCAGTAGGCACTGCTGATAAGGGTGTCAGCTGGAACAATTTTTCTGAAAGACAATCTGCATTTACATCAAAATTTAAAGTATAGTACTTTTGATCAAATAATTCACACTGTAAAGAATTTATTCTAAGCCAATATTTAGGCAAAACCCCAAAATATAGGGATATATATTCATTATAGCCTCCTTTTATTTTTATTTATTTATTTAACTTTTTTTTGGTCTTTTTGAGACAGAGTCTTGCTATGCAGTTCAGGCTGGCCTTGAGCTCACTTTTCAGCCAAGGCTGGTGTTGAACTCGCAAGGGTTCTCCTGCCTTAGCCTCCCAAGTGCTGGGATTACAGGCGTGCACCACCACGCCCAGGCTATAGCGTCCTTTTATACTGGCAAAAAGTGATTAACTTTTCTGTCCAGCTTTTCAGGATATTAACACACGTTGATAAATTTGTGTTCACAAAGACTTGATAACTGACTACATCCCAAAAATCTATCTCAGTTCTTGGCCTATGCTATTTCCCCCAAATTATATTATATTACTTTATAAAAGATTATACTGCTGGGCATACAGGTACAAATTCCCCATAATGAATATTATCACTATGTATATCTAAAATGTTCCAATAAAATTTTACCAGAGCCTGCAACCAAGTGGGACTGTAATGAAGCTGCAATTTAAAAAA